GATTCAATACCAGTAAACAATCAACCTTACATACAACTGGTAGTCTGATTAATAACATTTTCTCTCTGCTTCCGATGCTCTCGTGGCCAAATATTGTTGAGCCTAAACTCGTTAGAACCTAACACAAGTTGTTGAATTCTGCAGATGTTTATAACTCTATCTTGCACAATAGCGATCGGGACCAACCTTAGCCAGTTCATCTGCATTGGGAGATTCACAGCGGTATCGTTCCAAGTTCTGGGGCACATGAAGACGATCCTGGTGCTAATAATGGGCTTCTTCTTCTTTGGTAGAGAAGGTCTAAACTTGCACGTAGTTATTGGAATGATAATTGCCGTACTCGGTATGATCTGGTACGGTAATGCCTCTTCCAAGCCAGGTGGCAAAGAGCGACGAAGCTATTCTCTTCCGACAACCCGTCAACAGAAACATGGAGCTGCTTCAGATTCTGACGACAACGAAGACAAAGCCTAGTAGCAATTAGTTAAATTGAGATCAGGGACATCATCACATAGTTACAATTCTTATCTGCATTCTTCTATTTTTTTTTTTTGGTTAGCTTAATCTATGATCCTGGTGCTAATTTTGCTTGCACGAAAACTACGATTTTTGGTTTCATACAGACGATTGAGATTTTTTGTATTGCTTTTTGCGGAATCATGAACATCAGTATTTAATTTACAAGAACAGTTATTTAGATGCGTTATATTCGTTAGTAATTTGCACAAATAATGTTTGATATTTTTAGCACTTTCGGATATTCTGATAAAGAAGAAAGACCATCGAATGGGAAAACAAAAATGTGTAAAAAGTGATTAAAATATCCAGCAACAAAATATTTTCTTTAAGTAATTAAAAAAGTAGTGAACATGTCTCTAATCAAAGACCCAAAAACCAAAGTCGTGCAAAATTGTACGGAAAACAAGATAAATATCAGTCTTTATCAAATATCCAATCCAGCTGCAACTTGAAACATTGACTTAACGCTTCTTAGAGACACCAACAGTCTTTCCTCTGCGACCAGTTGTCTTGGTGTGTTGTCCACGGACACGTAGACCCCAGTAATGTCTCAGACCACGGTGATTTCTGCTCATTGTAAGAAAATTGCAAAACCACCATTACATAAATTCATTCAATTCAATCCAAGACAGTGGTAATGAAATCATATGTGATTGGGATCAGTATGAGTTTCACCTGATCTTCTTTAGACGTTCCAGATCATCCCTGAGTTTCATGTCAAGGGCGTTGGAGACAACTTGGGAGTACTTTCCATCTTTGTAGTCTTTCTGTCTGTTCAAGAACCAGTCTGGTATCTTGAACTGTCTTGGGTTTGCTACAATTGTCATGAGGTTGTCGAGCTCAGCAGCAGATAACTCACCTGCTCTGAAGAGTCAAGAGCAATATTAGACACAAGGATTGCAAATCAGGACAAACATAAATGTTAAAAGTATGCCAAACAATCTCTAGCTGAACCTACAACACACTGGCAGCTCTATAGTTACGATGCTTCCAATGACAAACAACACTCACAAAGTCAGATAAGAACAAAAAAACCAAAAGATTTTGTACCAGTTAAGACTACAAAGTGGAAACACAATTCATAAGACTGTCTAAAGCAAAAATGACTCAGAACATTATACACTAATCTGCTCAATGGTAAAGTTTCTACTCTATATTTCTAAAGGCTCCTCCAGGTGATTGATACCAATAACAGATACTCATTTTAAGATCAAAAACACAAGAGAAGAGAAAAAAAGAGCAAACCTTTTGTTCATGTCGACATCAGCCTTCTTGCAGACAATATTAGCAAATCGCCTACCAATACCCTTGATAGAGGTAAGGGCAAACATAATCTTTTGCTTACCATCAACATTGGTATTGAGCACACGAAGAATGTGCTGAAACTCTTCATTTGCAACCAGAGACTGTACACAGTAACAAATTACGTCTCATCAGAAACAAACTCAACACAAGATAGAAAGATACTTGGTTCTTCACTCATCGTAAATCAACACAAAATCCTTCTCTCATCGTAAATCAACACAAAATCCTTCTCTTTCGAAAGGGAATAGACTAATAGCTTAAACTCACTGTTTCTAAAACAAAACCCTACTCTTTCTATTGTATTAGCAAAATAGCTTTGGATTTCGAACAGAATCGATGCATTTAACGGCAAGCTATACTATCATAGATCGAGTGGAACCAGTTAATCAGCGTAAAAACCCTAAAAGATGATAGTTTTCTGAGGAAATGAAATCGTAAAACCCTAATTACCATTGTGATTCGAAGAGAAGAGCTGCCTGTGAGAAGGATGAGTAGCTCTCGGCGTCTCTACACGATCAAATAGATTGCAAAACTAGGGTTTCTTTAGTGGCTCTATATATATTCCTCTTTTCTACGGGCCTATAATACACTTGGGCCCAAACTATCTTTTTGGCCCACACTAGAATACGACGTCGTTTAGCGTTGGAATTCACCAATCCCCCTCACTGACTTCAACGATATGACACAAACCCTAATTTTCATTTTCAACTTTCTTCCCACCACAAACCTCGGAATCCGCTTGTTCTGAAATTGTCAATAGTTGTAAGTGTTGATGTTATGTCCGAAAAGAAGATGGATTTGGTTTCAAGAGATGTAATCAGCGGTCTACCAAATCCTCTGATTTCTCACATATTGTCTTTCCTCTCCACAAAAGAAGCTGCTTCCACATCGGTTCTCTCTAAAAAAATGATGTTATCTGTTTGGGTCTGTAACAAATCTTGATTTTGATTTGGGTAATCAAGAAAGGGATGAGATTCCTACAAGTTTTATGGAATTTGTGGATAGAGTCTTGTCTTTGCAGGGGAATGGTACCGTTAACAAATTTTCTCTTACTTGTTGTGGAGATGGTGTTGATCCTGCTCGTATCACTTGTTGGATATTGAATCTGTTGAAACGCGGTGTATCGGATCTTGATCTAAGCCTATCGGAATTGGAATATCCCTTGCCTTCAGAGCTCTTTGTGAGCAAGACATTGGGTAAACTGAAATTAGGACAGGGAGATGGTCCCATTTTCACCTTTGATGTGGAAGATGTTTTTCTTCCAAAGCTTAAGTATCTATGTCTTGATTCACTTGTGTTTGAAGAGGATGATGTTGGGTTTGCAAAGCTTCTTTCTGGTTGTCCAGTGCTTGAGGAGTTAGTTCTGAAGGGTGGGATTTTTGGAAGTCATGCTCTGTGTCTATCGCAACCCTCAAGAGGTTTACGTTCTTTTGCAAGGATATGGATGAGAATCCAAAGAGTGTGTCAATTGATACTCCGAATCTTGTCTACCTAGAGTATTCTGATACTATTGCTAAGAAGTATCCAAAAGTCAGTTTTGATTCGCTTATTGAAGCTCATATCGGTCTTCGACTGACAGAAGATCAGAGTGCAGATGCAAATTTTTCAGAAGATGACTATTTTTCAGATGGTGAGGAGGAAAAAGAAATGGTCGGAAATGCCATGGATTTTCTTACGGGAATACGCAATGTTCGGATCCTTTTCTTATCTGCCGAAGCACTTGAGGTACTTACTTTCTGTTGTGAAGCAACACCGGTATTCAATAACCTGATTCAGTTAACAATAGAGAGCAACTCGGAAATCGGATGGGAAGCTCTGCTCATGAATTGTCCAAGTCTAGAAACCTTTGTTATAAGGGGTCTCGACCACAAACATAACGATGGATGTGGGAACGTGTGCTGCTGTAAACGTCTAATGAATGTTCCTTCTTGCCTTTCATCTTCTCCGGTGAGTTGCTGAAGATATTTATGTTTGGACACATCGATGGTGACAAGATTGAGTCAATAGGGCAGATCAAGTATTTTTTGGAGAAAATGCCGCGTCTCGAACAAGTGATAGTGTACTTTAATACATCAAGTGACCATGATGTGTTCAAATTATCCAAGAAGCTGCACTGGGAATGTTAGTTTGTCATCTACTTTGCCTTCTTCTTTAACGACGAAATGGTCTGCTCCTAAAGAAGAAAGGTGTACTTGGTTTCTCAGCCCTTTGAGCTAAACTCAAGAGCATCTTAGTTTCCTCTGTTACTGTCGTTTGTGCTTTGCTTGGCATCTTAGTTTAGTGACTGGTGTTTTATGCTTTTGTTGTCCTTTTGAAACTGAAGATGTCCCTATAATCTATTTGTCGTATTAAATGTTGAAAACAAATTAAAGTTGAAATTTAACGTGATAAAAAAAGAAAGAGGAATTGTATTTTTATTTTTCAGTCATCTTGTTGTTTTACTAAGGATATACAAGAATCCAATTGGCACAAATGGAAATTTATTTATTTGCTGTACCAAATGGAAATATAGTGTTACTAACTATGGCGCCCCAATTACCTTAGTCCATATAATTGTATTGAAACATTTGATTACACCATCAAGCATTTCATATGGAATCATTTCCTAAAGCTTCCTCGGAGACTAACTTGTTCAACATATGAATAAGCTGATCAAATTCATCTTGTGATCTGATGAGACTCAATCTCACAAACCTTTCCTCTGATCCAAACACTTTGCCCTCGCGTCCTGTTATCTTGGCCGCTCTGAAAACCTCATAGCAGTTTGTGTCTTCTAATCTCTCACATTTCACCCATGCATAAGCTTTCAAATGAAAAAACAAACACAAGTTATATAACTTTTTCATGTAGTACCAAAACAAAGTCTCACATTTCCTGCATTAGAATCAAAACTTACAAGGAGTAAAGTCTCTGACTTTCTTGAAATAGTTGCAGTACTCCGGTTCAATCGTCTGTAAGGAGAAACGCGTCGACAAGGAAAAGATCTTGTTCAGTGTCTCCCATCTCTTCTTCAAAGTTTCATAGCCAAAATGGAATATCTCATCGCCAACCACTACTTTAAGCAACTGCAGAGCACGAAGCTGTGTCTCTTGAAACTCCCATACTACTTAATCCAATATATCTATACATTCTTTCAAAAACATCTTTGTCCTTAACCAACGCCCATCTG